GGGGGGGGCACAGGGCAGGCCTGGCCGTGACACGGGGCCTGGCACAGCGGGACAGGATGGGGACAGCCCACTGCTATGGCAACGCTTCCCAAACTGACCGCTGCTGCGTGGCGGGGGAAGGAAGCCAGGCTGGGGCGGGCTGGGCTGGGAAACCTGGAAGCTGGGAACGCCTCAGCCCCACAGCATGGCCTCAGCCCCACTGCAGGCCTCAGCCCCTCAGCCCTATAGCAGGGCCTCAGCCCTATAGGAGGACCTCAACCCCACAGCAGGCCTTAGCCTTATAGGAAGACCTCAGCCTCACAGCATGGCCTCAGCCCTACTGCAGGCCTCAGCCCCTCAAATCCTATAGCAGGGCCTCAGCCCTATAGGACGACCTCAGCCTCACAGCATGGCCTCAGCCCTACTGCAGGCCTCAGCCCCTCAGCCCTACTGCAGGCCTCAGCCCTATAAGAGGACCTCAGCCTCACAGCACAGCCTCAGCCCTACTGCAGGCCTCAACCTCTCAGCCCTATAGCAGGACCTCACCCCTATAGGAGGACCTCAGCCCCACAGCAGGCCTCAGCCCTATAGCAGGCCTCAGCCCCTCAGCCCTACTGCAGGCCTCAGCCCCTCAAATCCTATAGCAGGGCCTCAGCCCCACAGCAGGCCTCAGCCCTCAAAGACAGCCCCTCTCCACAGCACGCCTGGTCTTCACAGCAGCACCTCGGAACCATGGCAGGCCTTGGCCCCACATCAGTCCCCCGCACCCCCTTAAGGCCCCCCCTCCCCTCCCCACACCCCACACACACACAGCCCCAGCTCCGCCTCGCCGCTTCCCGCCCTGCTGTTGCGCATGCGCACTGCTTTCCGCCCAGTCGCTGCGCAGGCGCAGTGCTGCCCCCTTGCGGCCGCGCGGGGTGCGTGCAGGGGGGGTGCGCTGAGCGCGGGGCTGCGGGGTGGGGGTGCGGTGCGGGTGCGATGGCGATGCAAGGGGCGTAGAGAGGGGTGCAAGCAGGCGTACGGTGGGCTGAGTCCTATGAGCACACAGTGGGATGCAGGAGGTCGGAGGAAGACAGTAGGGCGCACAGTTGGGTGTGCATCAGGGCATGCAATGGGATGTGCAGTGGGACATGCAATGGGACATGCAGTGGGATGTGCAATGAGATGTGCAGTGGGGCATGCAATGGGATGTGCAGTGGGATGTGCAGTGGGATGTGAAATGGGATGTGCAATGGGATGTGAAATGGGCCATGGAATGGGACATGCAATGGGGCATGCAGTGGGATGTGCAATAGGTTGTGCAATGGGACATGCAGTGGGACATGGAATGGGATGTGCAATGGGTTGTGCAATGGGATGTGCAGTGGGACATGCAATGGGATGTGCAATGGGACATGAAATGGGTTGTGAAATGGGCCATGGAATGGGACATGCAGTGGGATGTGCAATAGGTTGTGCAATGGGACATGCAATGGGATGTGCAATGAGATGTGCAGTGGGACATGGAATGGGATGTGCAATAGGTTGTGCAGTGGGACATGCAGTGGGGCAAGCAGTGGGATGTGCAATGGGTTGTGCAGTGGGATGTGCAATGGGTTGTGTAATGGGACATGCAATGGGGCGTGCAATGGGACACACAGTGGGACACGCAGTGGGACGTGCAGCAGCTGCATGCAGTTGCTCTGCCCTGAGCCTCTCTCTCTCCCCGCTCCAGGCCCCGTGACTCCCCCCGCACCCGCCGTCATTCCGGGGACAGTGACTCCTCATCAGCCTCATCGGTGGGACCCCCGCGGGGTCACCGCCCTCCGCCCGCTGTCTGCTCCTCTCCCCGCCGCCCACCGCCGGGACGCAGCCGCTCCGGTGACCGCAGCCCCCTCCCCCTGCGCACCGCCGTCGCTCCGGGCGGTGGGGAGGAGCGCGGCCGGCCGCGTGTCCCGAACGGGCCGGGGCTGCCCCGTGCCCGCAGTCAGGGCCGGCCCGGTGCTGACGCCGTGCTGCTGATCCGACGCGGACGCGACGGGCAGCACTCGTGGACGCGCGCTGACGGCGCGCCCCGCCCCGCAATGCGGCCCTCCGGTCCTCGGCGCTCCTCGCTGCCCGGGGACGGGGGTGAGGACGGGGATGGAGATGCCTTCCAGGAGGAGCTGGAAGAGCTGGCGCGGAGGCTGCGGGCGCCGCTGTGTCTGGAACCCGGGCAGGAACAGCAGCTGCTGGGACGGCTGGAGGAAGAGTTTTTGGCCAACACGCGGCTGATGGAGCTGGGGGACGGTGAGCCCTCGCCCCCCGCCCGCCCCACGCACGGGACGTTGGAGCCCGGCAGCGGGGCGGCCGCCGACTCAGCCTACTGCTCCTCCTCGTCTTCTTCATCCTCCCTCAACGTGCTCGGCAACAAGCATGGCTGTCTGCCCGAGGACGGCCGTCGCAACGGGGGTCCCCCGCCCGCCCCCCACCCGCAGGAGCGCTGCGGCCGCCCCTCCAGCTCTTCGGATGAGAGCAGCTGCGTGCCGGCCTCCGGCGCCGAGTCCGACCCCGAGTGGGCGCCAGCAGTGGAAGATGAGGGGATGGAGACCGTGGTGGTGCCGGGGATCCCCGCATCCCCCGCCCTGCGGCCCCGTGCCCGGCCTCGGCTGGACGCGCAGCCCGGCAGGAAGCCCACCCGCATCCCTGCACCCCGGCCCCCCGCCGGCCCCCAGCCCTGGAGGGCACTGCACAGCGTCCTGGCCTCGCTGCTGGAGCCCGGGAGGGCACCGCGGGAGGATGAGGGGCTGCAGGAGGACTCCTGGCCGTGAGAAGGACAAGATGGTGGCTGCGGCCCCCGGATGCTGGGATGTGTGGGCACTGGGGCACCGTGGGAATGGATGCTGTCGCGGCGGGGCTGGTGGGGGCAGACGTACCTCGGTGTGATCGCAGTGCTGACAGGAGCTGTGTCACGGCATTGGGAACAGGTCTGGGAGCAGCCAGCTCTGCTCAGCTCCTCTGCTCTTCAACCTTCCTTCTCCGTCCTGCTCCCCTCGCCTTCCATTCCTCTTCCCCATCTCCACACCCGAGGACGTGCAGCTCGTCACCATGACCTGTACCCAGGGGATGTCCCCTCTTCCCCTGCAGCATCTCCCCCAGCACAGGCTGCCCTGCAGCCCCTGGAGCCAGTAAAGCCCAAGGAGCTGAGCCCACCTGCTGTTGTCCGTCCACGGAGGTCTGTCCATAGAGCTGCAGGTGCTGGGGATGGGGCTGCACCCTCCGGCTTCCTGTGAAGCATCCCTGGCAGAGTGATGCCCACAGTTCAGGGCTGCCTGGGAGCACTTCCCCCTTGTCCTTTCCTGGGTCCTTCCCAGCACAGTGGTGTCAGGGGGAGGTTCTTCACAGAGAGTGGTGAGGTGCTGGAACAGACTGTCCAAAGAGGCTGGAGATGCTCCATCCCTGGAGGTGTTCAAGGCCAGGTTGGATGGAGCCCTGGGCTGCCTGGTCTACTATTAGATATGGAAGTTGGTGGCCCTGCCTGTGGCAGGAGGTTGGAATCTGATGATCTTTGGGGTCCCTTCCAACCCAAGCCGTTCTGCGATGTAATGTAATATATATAAGTTGAAGGTCTTTTGTTCCAGAGATGCGTGGCTGGGGTGGAGGTATCCCATCACACATCTGACATCATAAATAAAGACTGCCTGCTCGCTAACACTGCATTAAATGAGTTTATTCCCAACTTTGGGATGACAGGAGAAAGCCACAGGGATGTGGCCACCTCCACCCCAAAGCCTGCACCCTCCGCTGGCACAAGGACATGCAGCCAGCACTCAGTGAACTTCAGCTCCTTGCCTGCAGAGCTGCTTCCAGCTGGTTCTGTGATTTCCACCTTTCCTCTTCCTCCTCACCCCCCTGTTTTCCCCCAGATCCACCCAGGCACAGCCCCAAGCAGTCATTGGCCACTTATCTCAGAGAAAGCTCTCATCATCATCCTTCCTCCCAGCCCATCCCTGACCCCCCCAGACACAACGCTGGCTGTGTGGGCAAACGTCACCTTTATTCCAGGCTGGCTTAAAACAAGTGAACATAGAATATATTTATATTTTATATATTTATAAGGTATCTCACGATAGGGTCTGAAAACTCTGAACCGGACGTTTCTATTGACGAGTGATGGATGGCTTTATTTTGGGGCAGGGTGGACAATGTCTGTCACCACCAGGAAAGGGGAAAGGACCCCTCCGGGTAAGAAGGTGGACAGGAGGGAGCTGCTCTGGGGCCTTGGGTGCTGGTACCCCCCTGCGACCTCAAGGAGCCCTGCAGGGGAGGGGAAAAGCCCTTTTTGTACAGCACACGTGGGTAAAGAATTGAATTTGAGGTCTTGAGAGCATCGGGAGCACCACCCATGTGGGGAGACCTTCACCATGACTCACCCCAAGCTCTCAGGCCCCCACCAGCCCCTATTAGGCTCTGAGCCAGCCCAGGGAGGGGACCCCCAGCACGAGAAGCGATGGATCCAGATCCCCCCAGGGGGGACAGAAGGAAGCAGAACTGGGGAGGGAACAGGGGGCACAGCTGGGCTCCCTCCAGGAACAGCCAACAGGGAGGACAGGGCACAGTTCACCTAGGGGCTGGTACGTGGGGCAGGGGGCTGGGACACCCCCATCCTCCTCCTCCACCCTCCTGGGAAGCGACGGCTCCGTGCTCAGGGTAGAAAGAGAGGGAACATGCAGGCAGCTCCTGCCCCACCATCAGTTCTTCAGGATGGCATCGTAGGCCTGGTACACGTACTGGGAGACCTCGGGAGCCCGGCATTTTAGTGACAGCTGGGGAAGAGAGGAGACACAACCGTGTGAGGGCTGCATTGTGCAGCCATGCCCTGTCATCACACACACCTGCGGGGCATGGGATGGGCCTGAGGGCTCTACACACCCATGGGAAGACATCAAGCTGCTCCCATTGCCCTCCCCAGCACTATTCACATGCAGGGAAGCAGGCATGCATCTTGGGGCTCAGGCTTTCACCCTCTGCCTGTGGCTCCACTGGGCATTTCCCCAAAGACATCTCCTAACCCTGCCTTCGTTCCAAAGTTGTTTTTAAATGTCTCAATGCTCTCAGCTCCTAGAGTTGCAGGGCAGAGTTGAGCACATGTGCACAGGACACGGAGCTGCAGCTACACTCATCCAAAGCACACCCACAGTGGGGCAGGGCTGATGGAAATGGTCAGACCCTGCCAGACTGTCAGGAAAGAGAAAAGCAGCCAGGTACAGCCAAAAAGCAAGGGTAGAAACCATTCTGCTAACCTCCAAATCCTGCAACAGCGGGGCAGGCAGCAGTGGGCAGGCGGGTAGCAAGGGAGACACAGAGAGATGAGTCAGCACCAGAGCTCATCCCAACCATCCCAAAGAGAAAGGCTGTGAGGAGGTGGGGAAGGGAACAAAGCCCCAGCACCGTGGGTTATTTGGAGGAAGACTGGGTAGCCAGGACCTTGTAGCTTCCTTCAGCAACATTGCTAGGGTGGCTGCCTCTCCCTGCTGCTGCAACCCCACGGAGGGCACACCGAGGGACACAGGGTTACACTGAGTGGGGGGCAGCAGGGGCTGGGCCGTACCGTGAAGCTGGGGTTGCTGGGCTGGATGCGGAGCTCCGCCAACACCCAGATGCCATTGGTGAGCTTCAGAGACTGGTAGAGCATGTCCTGGCCCTCCACGTTCCTCTTGGCAATGGTGAAGATGTTGCTGCCTTGGAGCTTGCTGCTGACAGCATCTGAGTGGGCAGAGGAAGAGCTCAGCACCATTTCCTGCTGGACCCAGCCCTGCTTCCACCCCATTTTCCCTGTTGCAGCTCTTGGAGGGCCACGTTTCTACAACCAGAGCAGAACGTTCCTGCCTAGAGACAGGAAGGCTTTGGAGAAAGGACAGGAGGATCCAGACCTATGGGGATGAGGCTGGGGCTTCCCAGTCCTAGCTCAGCTCAGCACTGCCTGAATACAGGGCAACAAACCATCTCTCACTTGGAGACCAGCAGTCCCTAAGTTGCTGTGACTGTTATCACAGGGCAGGAATAAGGGCAGCTCCCCACAGCAGGGGGAAGGTCCAACTCTAAGGCCCACCAAGTCCAACTCTAAGGACGTGTCTTGCCAACAGCCCTCATGAAGGGTTTGGACTCACCTGCATTGAGGGAACAGTCCTTGATCTGGAACTGGGCCTCGTTTTCATTGGGAATGTCCTTCCAGGTGGCAAGGAACATCTGCCGCTCTGCAGCCAGAACAAAGCAAGGCACTGAAGTCATAGAGGGATCCAACCCCTTCAAATCCCAACACAGGGCCATGCTGTGGTGGCGCTGGGCATTGAGACATCATTGCAGCATCCCTCTAGCAGCCACCCAAGATCTGTCTCACTCAGCTGTTCACTTTTGGAGTCAGCAAGCTCAGCTGCCTTAGTGAAGAGGCTGGGGAGTGCCAGGGACTGGACAGCAAGAGCTCCCAAAGGACCAAGAGGTCAGAATGTGGCTGAAGTCACCCTAGGTACCACATTGTGGTGATGCTGACACAGCCATCCTCCAGATTCCCATGGGTTTCTCACTCCCCACGGTTCCCAACTCCAATCCCAGGGCTAAGAATGTGTTTGGGAGGATTTTAGTGAATGGGATGGCACCCATGCTCCAACTCACCCATCTTCCCATCCTCCACAAAGAGGATGTGCAGAGGGTAGAGGGTGCTGAAGTAGAAGACATCAATGTTGTTCTTCACCGCAACCTGGGATGGAAGGAAAGACATTGGGATGTCAGCACAGAGAGGGGAAACCTGTGGGTCCCACTGTGAGCCCCCCTGGAAAGTGTGGGTGCTCTCACCTGCAGGTTGTTGAGGGGATCCATCTTCATGACAGAGCCCACAGTGTTCAGTGGGAGGGAGATCTCCACCGACTGGTTGGGGGCAAGGGGTGCGTGCACCTGGAGAGGGGCAGCTGGGGCCAGGCCAAAGCTGGGAGGACACACAGCACTGGGTCAGGGCTGTTATCCCACTGTTATCCCTATCCCCCCACCCACCAGCTCTGGGACCTCCAGGAACTGCCTCATCTACCTGCACCATCATTTCCTCCAGACACGAAAAGAATCCAACTCATTCCTGCCCATGCTGGGGCAAGCAGAGGTATCCCCCAAGTCTGCCACCTTTCTCCTCCAGATCTCCACTCATTTTTAGTGTTTGTGTACCACCTCATTAGGAGCATCTCCTTTTTTGTGCTCCTCTGCATTCACCGGGACAAACAAGAGGACATCCATGCCTGGGGAGGCGGTCATGCCCCAGGAAACAGCCTCCTCAGTCAACTTCTCAGAGGCTTTGGGTTGATGTCCATCACCATCGGAGCCGTCAGGGAGAGAAGGATCATCATGTGAGGCTGTTCTGTTCCCCGGCAGATGTCACCACATCCCTGTCCACTCACCCTTCTCTGAGCTGAGGAGGTGATACCCAGCATTCTCACCAGCCAGTGCTACCACAGCTTAGGAGACACCTCACCTGTTGCGGTTGAACTGGATTGCAAAGTCAGACATGACCTGCAGGGCCTTGTTGGTCAACACCAGGTCCATAGAGATGGAGCCCACCTGCCGGCTGAAGGTGCCAGAGATCTCCAGCCCCTTGGCTTTCATGGCAGGGAGCCAAACCTGGGCAGAGACACCAAATCCACAGAGGTTAACCCAAAATGAACACTTTGGTGCCCGCTGCTCTCAGCCTAAGGCAGTAGGAGCATGCCACCAGAGTGCTGCTGTCCCACTCACCGTCTTGGGTGCCACGTAGGACCCCGACAGAGTGCCCACTCCCCCGGTGAGGTCAAAGAGGTCCCCCAGGCCACTGCCAAGAGGTGCTCCCATAGCAGCTGGTGCTGCTGGGCCGGGTGCTGTGAAGCCACTGCCACCCATCTGCAGGGACAAGGGAGCGTCAGGGTCACAGTGACAAGGAGGAGAGAAGAAGAGGAAGAGAAGGAGGAAGAGGCAAGGGGTGCAAGGGCACTCACAGCAGGACTGCCTCCCACATCGCTGCGCAGCTGCAAGAGACAGAGACTGCTGTTGGTGCAAAGAGTGCTTCCGAAAAGCATCGGCACAAGCAAGGGCTTGGGGTCACTGGGGGTGCTCCTGACCACACAGAAGGGACAGGTGCTCCTTGACACGGGTATGTGGTTTAGTGGTGGGGCTCAGGAGATGCAGTTATGGTTGGGTTTGGTGGTTTGAGGGTCTATTCCAACCGCGGTGATTCTATTTTAGCTGAGCAGGGCTGAGCTCAAACCTCAGCTGAGCTCCCTACACACACCAGGAACAAGAGAGGTGAAGGCTGAGTAGTTCTGGGGCTGGCTGGCTATCACCAGAGAGACAGGGGGGCTGTGAAGGTGGACATGGGCACTGCAGGGGCTAGGGGCTAAGAAAAGGTCTGATCCATACCCCTTCCGACTCGTCCCCCATCTCCAAGCAGAAGCAC